TTTTTTTCGTTTTAATAAATTTGAAGATCATGGATTTATTGTAATATCTTAATTTATTATTATTAATTCAAAAAAAGGTATTAATTTGGAAAATAAAGATTTTATAAATTTTACGAGCTTGATTTCTTTAAATTTTTTAGAGCCTAAATTTTTGATTCATAGACTTCCTCTCAGGGTAAAGGGTTTTTGATTGCAAAATGTGATGATAATGATTGCAAAACAAATTTTTTTATCAGAGAATATTTTAGAATTCCGTTCAAAATCCCTAATTAATTATGAGAATAAAAAAATTACTAAGCATTTTCAATGGTATGGAAGAGTTTCTCAATTTTATTTAACAAAAAATAATAATTTCATTAATTTGTTCAAATACAATGTTAATACAGTGTAAATAATATTTTAAAAATTTATATTCTCACTTAAGAAACACACACTCTCTCTCTCTCTCTCTGTCTTTTAACATACATATGGTGCTGGTGTGTATGTAGTTTAAAATAACAGTGAGCTGTTTGTGGATAAGTGTTTATTATCATGTAATTAGTGTTTTACATACATATGCTGTTCAGTATTTTTAAATTATGAGAAATGTGTGTACAATTACAATGTATGAAGATATTTCAGTTTTAATTATAGAAAATTAAAGTTTACATTAATTTAATTTTATATTTGTATTTACATAAATGAATTTCTATGTATTAAAAATATTTTTCAAAGTTTAGCAATTGAAGTAACAATTTTTTTTGCATAAAATATGTGAGCATGCGATATACATATGTACATACATACATATCTATAGCAAACTAGAATTATAAATTGAATAATTAATAATTTTTTTAATAATATCAATTAATTTTGATATTATTTGAAATATAGTTATCATAAAATACTTCTATGAATGCTTATACATATACAAGATATCCGTAGAGGAGGTTCATAGTCCATAAGCAATTTTGTAGGTTTTTTAAAAGCTCATGAAATATTGAGTATAGTTGTTGTTTAAATGCTTTCTCGTGGTCTCCAAATGCGTAGTTGTCGTTTTTGCAACTTCAAACATCGGGAAAATTTTAATCTAGCCAGGTGTCAAGAATTTGAATGCACCTGTATTTATGTCAAGAATTTGAATGTACCTGTTTTATTTCTTACCGTAAAGTTTTAGTCAAACCAAGAAAGCTAGAAATTAAGCGAAATATAGCTACATACATATTCTAAATATGCATGTGTGTAAATACATGCCTGTATGTATTTCAAGCAAGCTTTCTAGAGTGGTAGCAGTAGCTATTAATTTGATTTATCAAAAAGCATACATTCAGATTTGAATTCAGGTTTGTGTAAGAATTTGAAGGCACTTAAATCTAAGCTGTTCTTTTCATATTTTAATTTAATACTTGTTTTATTTAAAATTTTTACATTTGTATTTGTTTGTCGTCATGAAATTCCTTTTTTTATTTGTATTTTTGCTAGTATTTTTTTTTTTAAATTGGTTCTTCTTCGTTGCGCCCAAGTAATTTACTTAACGATATTTCTTTTTTTTTTTTAAGGTTCTTAACTTTCTGCTTCGAGATTTTTTTTTGTTTTCTTATTCCTTTTCTGATTATTTTCTGTTTTTCATGTTGTTAACGAAAATGTATTTGGGTGCTTGGCTGGGTTGCGCATATTATACCAGTTTTTTTTTGTTATACGTACTTACTTACATACTTATTTTTATGTGTACATATATTTTACATTAGTGACATACAATGTGCGTGTAGATGTGTACATGTCTGACTTGAATCTGCGCAATAATTTTAATTTTTTTTTTGTTGTTATTTTCTGTTTTGAATCAAATAAATAATGTATAAAAACCAAAATTTTGTGTTTTACGCTGTAGGGTTCTATTATAGAATCAAGTAACCGCACTAAAAGAACAACCGTATATAATATTATGTACATACATATATGTACAATAGTTTGTATTTTTGTAATTCTAAACATTCATTTCTTACGGTTTATGCGCGAGATGTACATATAAAAAGATAATCAAAAAGTCAAAAAGAAAATAAAACAACGGAACGAAATGAAATTTTTCTTATTGAGAATTTCTGATGTTTGTTGCTATATTTTATATACTTACATACATATGTATATACCTGAATACATCTATGTGGGTATAATATTGTTAAAGAAACCTAAAATCCAACTAACTTTTAACACATATGTACATACAGTGAGCAACAAAAGTCTTCGCACCTTTCTGTTTTTACGATTTGTGGATAATTTATAAAAAAATATAAACGTATTTTTATGAAAGTAATATAAAAATTGAAAGTTTTATTTATTCTCAAACTCCTCTTAAAATATAAAAAAAAGAAAATCATAATTCATTAACAAACTTAACAAAAAAGAAAAACATAACAAAATTCATTGCAACAAAAGTCTTCGCACCTTAATAAAAAAAACTTAACTATTTATACATTTTAAATCAATTAATATTTTGTTGGGTATCCTTTCGCATCTATAACAGCTTGGAGTCTTCGGGGCATTGAGTCCACCAAATTTTTGGTCTCCTCGCGAGTTATTTTACTCCATTCTTCTTTTAAAACCTCTACTAACTGCGGTTTACTGGAAATATTATGTTTCCTTATCTTTCTGTCCAACAAATCCCACACATGTTCGATAGGATTTATATCCGGAGATTGCGGAGGTGTTACTAGCATGTGGGGAGTGTTGTACAATATCCACATTTTGACTTTGTGGGCTGTATGCTTAGGATCGTTGTCCTGTTGGAAATAATAAGAATCACTAAGCTGCATTGAATCGGCGCTCTGCTTTAGGTTTTCCTTAAGAATTTGCAAATAAATATCTTGATTCATTGTATTTTCAATGATTTTCAAGTTTCCAACCCCACAGGCTGACATACAGCCCCAAACCATTACTCCTCCACCCCCATGTTTAACTGTGGATTTCAAATTTTTTGGATTCAACGCTGTGTTTGATTTTCTCCAAATAGAAACTTTTCCATCTGAGCAAAAAATATTGTATTTACTTTCGTCTGAGAATATTACTTTATTCCAAAACTCAATCGGCTTGTTTAAATACATTTTTGCGAACTCTAACCTTTTTTTTCTGTTACGTTTATTTATTAAAGGTTTATTTCTCGCAGTGCAAGACTTGTAACCACCAGTTTTTAATGTGCGGCGAACAGTTTGAGGGCTAATATCTTTGTCAAATTGTTTCTTAATATTATCAGCTATTTTGGGAGCACTAATTCTGGGTGTATTGTTAACTATTTGCAAAATTTTCCTTTCTTCACGATTAGTTAACTTTTTAGGCCTTCCACTTCTGTGTTTATTTTCTACAATATTCTCGTTGCAAAAACGTTTTATAATACTGCGAACTGTAGACTTGCTTCTTTTTACGATTTCTCCAATTTGATTGTAGCTTTTACCATTATTATGCAGATTTAGAATAATTTCTCTTTCAGCTACTGTGGTTTCTTTTCTCTTTGGAATATCCATAACTAATAACGTCCTGCAATCAAGACCTCTAAGCACCTACTGAATTTAAAACAATGCGGCGTCTATTAAATAATTTTAATAAAGTTTTTCGAATTCAATACGTTTGGTTATAGTGATTTCTGGCGCTGTTATTGTTATTTTCTTAACTGTTAATTTTTCGAAGAAATGTATGAGGGTGCGAAGACTTTTGTTGCGATGAAATTTGATTTGTTTTTTGTTTTTGTCTTATAACGAAGTAATTATGATGTGAATGTTTTCTATTTTTTTACAGAAACTTAAAAATAAAAAAAACTTTCAATTTTTATATTACTTTCATAAAAATACAGTCATATTTTCTTTAAATTTATCCACAAATCGTAAAAACGGAAAGGTGCGATGACTTTTGTTGCTCACTGTATATGCATGTACCTTAGATACTTACATATATGAGTGTTCCTATGCATGGTAATGTATAAGATGTTTGAAGGTATTTATAATACGAGAATAAAACTGTTTAAATAATAGGATAAAAATAAATTGGATTTTTCTTAAATTTTTTGTTTTGTTGTTCTTCTTTTTCATATGGGAACATAAATTTTTCGTTTTTTATCAACATTTTTATAAAAATGTTAAAAAAAATTCTTTTATTTTTTTTTCACTTTTTAAAGAAATAAAAGAACACCAACAACAAACTTAATTGTATAGTTTTTCTTCCAGGTTTTTTTTTTCAGTGTACCTACAATGCACGTATTCGTATGGATATATCTGCCTTTAAGACTTAACGAACGTCTGTAAATGTTCTTTGGGAGACAAAACAACATAAAAAAAAACATAAAAAACCTGTTCAATCCGGTTTAATTCTTAAGGTAATTATTATTAGAGGAACCCTATGAGACTAAAATTAGATATTAAAGTATGAATGCGTGCAAAAGTCTTTAAAATACATACGATATACCTATAAAACTTATATAGGAAAGACAAGGAGAATAAAAAAAATGAAAAATGATTAATTTGTACAGGGTTTTCTTTTTTAAATTTAACCAATTTTTAATGCTATCAAAATATTAGTACACATACATACCAACTTATGTGGGTAAGAACATGCAACGAAATTCTAATTTATCAGTATTAAAAAAAGAGAAAAATTTAAATCTAATATTAAAAAAAATTTTTTACAATATTTTTTCAGGTTGAAAAATATTTTTGGAAGAGAAAAATTATTTGTGAACAAATTCTAATTTCCTATAACATTGATGTGATTCTTTAGTTTCCCTACGACTCATGAAAATTAAACTACAACTGGACAGGATTATGGTTTGTTAATTAACGTGTTTGAGTTAATCAAGTTTAAATATATGAAACTATGTTTAGAATCATCTTTTCAATGGCAAAACTGTTGAATCTAATTGAATTGTATAAGAATCAGCTGAGGTAGCACTATATAATATGTTGTTATAATATATGTAGTTGATTTACATAGGTAAATATTTTTGTGCTAGGTATACATTAAGAATAATACGGAAAATAGGGGAATGTAATTAATAGCAATCACAAACACCTATACGCACATTGATATTACAAATGAAGAGGCCGATACTGGAAAAATTAGGAATCAATAGATTTCAGGTATTGCGCCATAGCATCGTTTTTGCTGACATGATTTTGTTAACAAAAGGGAAAGTAGTTTTAATATAGTTTTTGAGGATACTTAAAATTAATATATTTCTATTTATAGTTTCGCATTTTCCATGTAAATCTTCTTTTTAACCTTAAGAACATCATACAGTTGTTAAACTGGAACAATTTCCAAAACAGTTACCACCGATTCTGTACTTATGTTACAACACAATCTTAGTATTTATAATGTCTATGAAATTGATTTTGTTTTTGAATATTTTAATAGCACCTACATAAAATTTTACACAATATTAAATATTTGAAATATTTTTCTTCATTAAATTACTTAATTTTCTTTTGTTCTTATAAATTTTTCCAAAATATCAATCAAATTTAATTTGTCGTTCTCTATTGAATATTTGATTATATAATAATATGTGTATAGCTTGTTTTGGTTTTCATTTTGTCATGAATAAATTTAAAATTGAACTTCTATAAAAAAAAATTCTTTAATAATCTTATCTATTTAACGCCTACATTTCGTTTCAATCATTGCCCCCTAATAGTGCCATAAAATCAATTACTTAATTTTGTAAGAAAAACTTACATTTAGAATGTTTTTAATCATATGGAAGTCACAATGATATTAAGCGTTTTGTAAACCCAATAGGTGGGAAAATTTATTATTAAAATTGTAATATTATGTTGTAGGCACATTTGAATTTTATATTTGAAATAAATAGAAAAAATTCTATGCATATGTAAATGAACTGGAAATATATATGCATTCTATTCTAAGTGGTATACACATATACAAACGATCATATTACATTTTAATTTTCATGTTCTGGTTAACAAAATTTCCTTAGAAAAAGTGAAATTTTATTGCAATTATTTGAAAAATTTGAATTTAATTTCCAGAAATGTTTAATTGCTTTGGATTCTATTGTAATGGTTCAATTAGTTCGTGCTCATTTTTGTATACAGAAAGTTTCGTTAAACTGAAATATCATTAGAAAATTACGTAAAAACAAGATTTCGCCAACTTTTTTTACGACGCCTTTTTCTTATATCTTTAACAAATTACCCGCAAAAATGTTGAAATTGGGATTTTTTTGTTGCAGGTGCTTCTTGTAATGTATTCTTTTATGTTTGTCTCTATTTTAGTCCGTATATATTTGCCTGTTAAGGTAGTTAAGACCAGATTAAAAATTCTGGCTTATAAGCTCCGTAATGTGTTGTTTTGGAAACTGTATGATTATTTGTAAAATCTAGTGATTTTTAATTTGATTTTGACCAAAAAATTCACATATAAATGGGTCTATTAAGGTTTGTCTGTATATACGTATGCATCTATTTGTATATCAGTTTGTATAATACTTATATATATAATTTACTTTTAAGCCCTTTTCGTCATGTTTTTGTTCTTATATTACTTTTTTTTTCATTTTAGAATTTTATTTTCTTATTTAACTTTGATTAAAATCCAATCCTTCATAAAGGTTCTTCCTCCCTTTTTATTCACATTCTATATATACCATTATAAAGAACTCAAACCTTAGCAATTAAAGAAAGAGATAGAATAAGAATACTAAGAGATAGAAGAGAATAGTAAAGAGGAATGAAAACGAGAAAATTTTATTTCTGATTTTTATTTTTCTTTTTTTTAAGTGAACAAGATAATAATAAAAGTATATAAATATGTACATATATACGAAAAACTCAAGAGGCAAACCTGAATGTATACCTTTTTGTACCTTTAAATACTTGAAAAAAGAAAGAAGTAATTCAGTATAGTATAAAAAGAACTCAGAAATGATGTTCTTCTAAAAATTTTATTTTATAAAAATTTAGTTTAATCGGGTTTTGCATTAGCTCTAATAGTAGGCATGCAAATATAATAAATGATTCGAAGTTTTTGATTTGAAACATAGATATCGCTTTGTAGGACAGATTACAATCCACTCTTTCATTTAATTAGTACAGAGTCTTCTGAATTAATTCAATTCAATAATTTCATTAAATATTAAAATGAATAATTTCAGTCGAAAATTTGATTATGACCAAGAAGTCTAATTAAAAGCCTGTACATTGTACGTACTAATTGCAGATTGTACATATTAATTGCAGATTCAGAATGTCATTCTACTGTTATTTGGGTAGGCGAATTTAAAATTTGTCTTTTTGCTGTTAGTGTTTCCGATTACGCGGTAAAAATGGGTATAACGCATTTTATTTTATTCGAAATGAATAGCAAAAATGAACCCGTTCCTTCTTACCTCCTTAGTTATATACTCGTAAAAATTAAATTTATTTTTGACAAGTTAGCTTTAAATCATAAATTAAAACTCGATAACAAAGTTTCTAAAATAAGCTATCAAATTTTATTACAGTTGAAAATATTGGCATATGTAAACGTTAGGTAATTTTTTCAAAGGTATTCATTAAGTTTATAACATTATGTTATATGAAAAGTATATATGTATGCTATTTTGTATTATGGTTTAGATAATTGGAATGTTTTGATCAGAATACGAAAATTACAGAATGAACATAATGTTTGTAAAATATATACATACATACATATGTAATTATAAAGTTATACACATAAGCTGAATTTTTTATATGAATTTTTTAGTGGTCATCAGGGCGCGGTAGTATTTTTATAGTTTAGCGTGTTTCTTTATAGTTGATTTTCTTTTCATTTTCAATTCTCAATACACACATACAAATGTAATTTTTCTTCAGGTTCTAAAGCGAATTCTAAAATAAGAAGAATTTGAAATTTCAATTGTTTTCTTCTTTTTTACCCTTCTTATGAACATGATTTTCAGATTTGTATTTTTAAATTAAAAAATAATAACGTGCCTTCATATGTAGGCACAAAAAAAAAACCAAGTATTTTTCATTTTCAAAGGGATTTTGCCTTTTCTTTTTAGCTGTTCTCTTATAATGTAGGTATAGCTGTTTTAATAGGGGCCCGTATAGCTGTACCGATAGTAAAATTTTGACCGTGAAATATATAAAATGGTTTCGAAATCATAAACGTACATCTTACATGAATGTATACATACATATATATGTATGCATGGATGTTGTGCTATTACATTGAAAATAACTGAACTATATCACAGGTACATTATTATAATTCGATCAGCTTTTGTATAACAAAGGACAAAAAAAAAATTCAAGAAACAAAAAAAAAGAATAAATCAGATTTTTTTTTGTTTACTTTAAAGAGGATTATTTTGCATAGACGCTAAGGTATTTTCTATTTATACATACATATAGACATGTTTTGTTGTTTCTATAATGTGTAAATTACATTATGCACCTGAGCACCTGGTCTGTTGATTTCAAATTCAAATTGGAAATTTATATTTTGTTATACTTGTAATTGGATTGAAAATTTATTAGAAAAAATGGAATATAATTTGTTTTCAAGTAAAAATTTTCTTACAAGAAAAAGAAATTTTTAAAGTGCAATTTATGATGTTAGAAAATATTTTCAACACATTGGGTTAGAACTTTTGCAAGTTGTTTTTCAAATGATTTATTTCATATGAGTTGTAATTGTCGAATTAAATTCTGTTATGCATAATTAGTTTTAGAAAAGAGCGAAAATTTTTTTACCATACACGTTCATTGTTTGTCTTATCGTAACCATGTATTTTGAACATGTTTGATTTTGGGAAAGAAAAAATTATTTAAAATCAAAATTAAAAATTAATTACTAATCAAATTATTTTTTTATTTTTTGAAAGATCAGATAAAATGACGTTTATATTAAAGAATAATATTTTGATAATTGCCACTGCAAGTCTTCTTGATTTTGGATATTCAAATTTGGATCGCTTCTACTGATGTACTGCAGGTCGTATCTCGCAAACAAAACAAACTACTACTGATTTCTAAGAAGTAAAATGTAGTTGCTTGTTTATTATGCTTACCAGTATAAATCGGAATGTACGCGTAACTCAATAGGAAATAACTGAGATATATCAAATCGCATGACCATAAAGGACAACTATAGAACGCATTCAAGAATTCTACCTATAGCAAAATTTTTATTTGTACAAGTTGAAAGTTGCAATTATAGTGCTTGCATAGTAGTTGGGACTATCCTGTTGAAATTACATCTCATTGAGAATAATGATATTATTGTGTATGTATAATAAATACAAAATTTATTCTTAGATCTTAAAGATTAGACTGATTTTCTAATTTTTTTGTTTTTCATTTCAGTTATCATATTTTTGAACAAAAATTATTTATCACAATGCAGTAACGACTCCCATTCATCACTAAGCAATTTCCAGTTTATTTTTTGCTGATATAAGATCCGATAAATCTATAAGTGTTTAAACCACATCCAATGGTTGTGTAAATAGTCTGAATGGGTTTCTTGTGAATTAGTCTGAAATGTATAAGCAGAAATTAACGTAATCGATGATAAAGAAATCCTGCGGAAGCGTCCGAATATCATTTCATATGTATGTAGATCATAAATGTCAAAAAGCATGCGATAATCAACGAATTACTTATTATCTTTAATAAGTTGATTTGTGCGTGTTGACAAATTTGCTTTAATAATTAATTCCGTTGCAATTTTCTCATTTATAGTAGCCTTAGATTAAGTAAACCGTAAAGCCTTGCATTAAGTATAAACTGTACTAATTGTGTGCATACGCTTATATAATTGGTAAAATAGTTGAATTATTAATTAAAATTGTTTTATAATAAGAGATCTATTTCTGTAATTAATAAGTCCACAAACGTTACTTAATTGCGTCTTAAGTTTATTTACCTTGCTTCATTGTTCGTTATAATTAAAATTTTTGTATGAATAATTTAATTTTAAATATATGTAATAATAATTCAAATTATTCTAACATAGCAGTAATTATCATGAGTAATAGAATATTTGACATTTAAATTTTTCATGTACATATGTACATATGTGTCTTTTCTTATACTTTTACTTACATATCTAAAAACATTTTTTTAAAAAATAATAATTTATGTGTTCATTATTGAATTCTCCCTTTAGGCAATTTTGATATTTTTACTGTATTATATTTTCTTTTATTTTTAGGAATATCTTCCGAACAGTGTAGAAAAAAAAGCAATGATAAAATGTCAGTTCAATAACATTTGATAAAGGAGAGCTTTGACATTTTTCCAGAATATTGTAAAATGATTGCGTGTGCCATTAGCAATAATAATTCACAAAAACATAAATACACACATAGAGACATATACACTAGTATTTGATACATTATAGTTTATGATAATTTGCTTTAAAACAAAAATTTTACATACATATTACGATAAAATGTTCGTTTCATTAATAGTTAAAATTTATTATTGTATTCCTTTGAACTGTTTTCTTTATTGTGTGAATTTTGTTTTTTTTTAAATATTCAAAGATGAATCTTGTATTCGAACTGAATAATATCGAATTGAACTTTTTTTTTGACGTAAGTCAAAGTGTAATAAACTCTAGTTGTATTGTAAGCTGTATTTTTTTTATTTTTGTTTTTATAATTTTTGTGTTTTGATATACAAGCTCAAAATGATGTTAGTTCGGGCTAGTGTAAATTGCTTTTAAAGGGAATTATTATCTGTGTTGAAGTAATAATCGAACTACATTAACAGATTTAGCAAATTAAAAATATTGCGATTAAAATTTCAATTAATGGGGTTTATTCTGAGTATCGAATCGCTAATTGATAGTAATAATTATCGTAATTATTGATATTGTAAACCCAAATCAATTAATACAAATGATTCGTGTTTACAATAAAATTTTTGAAACTTTTACAATAGACATTACAATCGCTCAGTGATTTGATACTCACAATAAATCGTAATAATTTTTGAGCCGCTTCTATATTTATTTAAATTTTATTTTTAAGCAATAATTTGAATATAAAAACAAAACAATCGATTCACCTGCTATTTTCAATAAAATTTTCAGGTAGCCGAATTAAGGGGACATAGGACTTGTACTTTGTTATGGGCATAAATGTAAAATACAGATGAAAAAGCTTATTTAATGTAAGAATAGATTCATTTTTTTAAATTTTGAAAGCTTTATATATATTTTTATTGTTAAAAAAAAGTTTAATTGATTTAATTAATTTTATGTTAACAATTTTTTAAATTTTCAGATACATACATGTTATTATAAGTGTAATATTTAAATGAAGAAACAATTAATATTGACTAGGGACCTAACATACAAAATCGCTTGTAAGATGTTAAATTGAAAATTAAGAAGTAAAACAAATTTGGATAAGTGAAGCATCTTATAAGGAGCTCGTAGTAAGAGTATATATAAAAAGTAATCAAATGTAGGGGAAATTACATAATAATATTATCAGAGTTCTATAATGCTAAATAATTACAAAATAAGGTTTTAAAACAAATAAAACCGAAATCAATTGAAAACCCTGAATGAGTTAGAAGCGATTTTTTTAACTTCAATTGTGGAGATGACAGATGTTGCAATGCAAAAATTAAGTGTCGGTCCTGTTACATCAGCTATGACGATATAGAATTTAAGCATCGTTACTGTTATATCAGCTGTAACAAAGCAAAAATGAAGCATGAATAAAATTTTTCTATGCTCGAAATACTAATTTGCATATTTTAGCCGCATAGAAAACTATATTGAAATTTGGACTTTGCAAATTTTTGTGTGTACATAAAATGGTGAACGCCAGACTTTGTAGTAATGCGACATATTTGCATAATATGGAAACTAGGGATTTATCATTGAATGAATGGTGTATTGTTGAAAAATGCATTTAAACCATTTTGACGACATGAATATTGGAAAATTAAAAGCATGGATATTTACATATTATATTTTTTGAAATGAAGAATGAAAATTTTTCATATTTTATTCTATTTTACTAATAGAATTCCATTTCATTTGATGAAAATATGCCAACCATACTGATGGGTAAAACATTTTAACAAAATAACAAATGCAAATTTACAATTAAATTAAATCAAAAAACAAAAAAAAAAATTTCAAATCTTTGAAATTATTATTTAAAAAAAGAAAATAAACATAAAAAACTAACAAAGGATAACGTGACATAAAATTCAAATAACAAAACTTATTCAAAATAACAAAAATCTATAATTACACGTAATAAAATATCTATAAGTATTCGTTATACATATGTATAACAAAATATAAAATCATCTAAAAACAAAAAATTAAAACACATTCCATGACATTATTAAAATATTTTCTCCCTTAAAAATCTTAGAATTAAAATAAAAAATTAAAAAAACAAAAAAAAATATTTTTTTTTGTATACGTAATGTTATCATCATAAATGTACCGTTTATTTTTCGTATGACAATACACTCAGGTATATTATTTAATATATGTATATTTAGGTATACATTCAAACAAGCAATAAACACATATCATCAATTTGCCTTATATTTATTTTTCTCTTCGGTTTTTATCTATATAAATGTGAATAAAACGTATATGTGTATATGTAATTAGTTTAAGCTACGCCTATATTGAAAATATAGCAAATTGTATAAAGTAAAAAATTAAATATTCACGTCATAACTCCAGAAGTCTCTTTAAAAAAAAACTCAATAAAAATAAAAATAATTAAAATGTATAGAGAATTAAAAAAAATATTCTCTCCCCCTAATGGAAACAGTTACAGTCGAAGTTTCGAACTACAGAATATCGAATATTTAAATTTTTTAGGGGAAATTAAAATATTTGTATAACAGTAAGGTTTATTCTGAGTATCGAAGTATAGATATATTTATCGAAAAGTTTCAAAAACTTTATTATACACATCAAACATTTGTATGATTTTTTTGTGTTTATTATAATATCCAACTTCTTACGATAAATATCACATCACTTAGTGATTGGATACTCTAAATAACCCCCAATATTGTTTATAAAAATAAGTATAACAGTTATTACAACATTATTTAATGTGGTAAAATTGAATTTTCGGAATATTTGATAAATGTTTTTAATTAGGCAGTAAATTATGATTTTTGTTATTTGCTATAGTATTAAGTAAAAGATATTGTATTTTTGCTTTGTATGTCAATTATTAATGAAAGTTCTTCTTGATTGACAATTAAACTAAGTGATTTTAATGTAAAATGTTAGTAATATTATTATGTAACAATACTGCAAAAAATTTTCTTTAATTTAAGTTTGTTTTAAAACTCTATTTCGGATAACTTTTCGATAAATGGTGTTAAAAATTAAAAAATAATATTTTTTTTATGTAATATTTTATGTATATCATTATGTATAATATTCTGAAAGTAAGATCATAGTAGTTACTAAATAATTTAGCTATCTATATAAATTTTTTTTGAAAATTCAACATTCACAAAATTATGATTTTTCGGTATGCCTCCGTTTAGTTTTTTACTAGAAAGTTTTCAAGCTAACCTCGCCAGGCTTTTGATTTGACTAGTTAAATTTCTGCAGATATAATTTTTAAAATAACTTCAAAATTTTACATTATTTTACTTAAAATTTTACAAAATTGTAACTAATTTGAAAAACTTCTACGAAAAATTAAATTTTTTCTTTTTAATAGTCAAAAGGATTGTATCATTTTTATTATATTTAATAATAATATTGTATTAAATTTAAAATTCATATACAATAATAATCAAGATATTTAAAATTCTTTCAATATTTTCTCGTATAAATAATATTGAAATTTTTTTTTTTTTTTTCAATATACCGACGACATAAAGTTAAAATAAATTTATGCAAAGAAATTCTTATTACAAATTGTACAAATTCTCTTTTGTATAACAATTTTTATTTTATTTACTTTTATATATTGCTAGAGATGTACAAACATTCATATAAATTAGTTTACCTTTTGTATTGTGTACGCAATACCTGTATAAATATAGAAAATTTTGTATAGAAGTATGCAGGTGTGTAATTTGCTTAAATGTCGAATTATTTTATGCCTATGAATTTTAATTTTGTAAGATTTGTTTTTTTTGTCTATGAAATGTATCATTATTTTATTTATGAAGAGCTGCACGTTTTCTTTTTTTGCTATTTAGAAATGTCCCTCATATCATACATTAACCTATGTAAATAATTAAATGACAGAATTGACGATTTTGTCAGTTTTGTGTTTTTAAAAATTTTGTAATTTTTTCAAATTTTAATTTTCCAGCTTTTTTAGTTTTTGTAGATTACAAATAAAAATGTTAGTATTGTTATTGTATTGAATGGTTTGTTCAAATAATTGTTTGCAATTGAAATAATTTTAAGTATATAGATTACTGATAGTTTGAGAAATTTGTATGAAATTGAAGGTGGTTTCAATTTTATGAAGATGAATTGAATTTTTGTGGATGTAATAACGTATTAATTGTTTGTATTTTAAGTATTTTATTAATTTGTATTTTCAGCCGTGACAAGTAGATTAGTGATTGAATCAAAGGATGTAGGCATTGTAAATGTAAAATTCCCGGACAAAAGTTTTTTCGAAATATTTAAAAAAAAGTTTAATATAAATTTAATAATATTCTAATCTAAAGCCGAATAATAAGGAGCAATAACTAAAATCAATTGTAATACAGTAAATACTCGTTGCAATCCAGCAAAGTCACGCTGTATAATACATTGGACACTATAAATATTGTTGAGGAGTTTTTGTTTATATTAACTGCATTTACTTGAACTTTAATGGTATACATACTCGTAGCAAAACCATATAAAATTTAAAGATTTTGTTCTGAAAAGTTTTGCTTTTAGCTTCATTTGTATTGATTTCTCTTAAGTATGTATTGGAGTTAAGTGAAAACAATATTGAAAATCTTATATTTTTTATTATTTTTTATTTTTCATTATATTATTTAAATTGTGCCTTAGTTTTATATTTATATTGCTAATTATTTCTTATTTATTTTTATATTTTTTTAGAATACCAAAATAGATGTGAATTCTTCAATTTTTTTTTAATGATATCATTGAAAATCATCTGTCATTTAAATGCGTCATGTCTGGCCTATTCTAAAAGAATGAACATACATATTATTATTAAAATTATCTAATATTAATCACATAATGTATATTGTAGGAAAACATACTACATATATGTATAATGTATATACAAGTGTAAAAAAATTTATTAAAAATATTTATCTGTTCTAATTATATAATTATACTTAAGTATATATAGCAATTCTTATTATTTTATAGAAAAAAAAAAATAAATGAATTAATTGAAACATATTTTAATTTTTAAAAATCAAATATTTGAAAGCTTTCTATAAAAGTACAGTAAATTTAAAACCCACATATAATATAGTTGATATTTAATTCGCAAAAAAAATTTTATAGTTTTTATAATGATGATGTTAAAGTTATAACGTCAAATATGATATTTTTTATTAGAATAATAACAATTGTATAACAATATTATTTTGTATAGTTTCAGCACTTTTTCAAGCAAAAATATTTTGAAAATAAATTCATATTGGTTTCACTCTGTCTGTTCGTCCGTGCGTCTGTTTCCAAAACTTTTACACCCTTTAAGACAGAAAGATAAAATATTTTACATATATATGAATAGAGATTTATTTCCGTAGAAGAAAATGTTTGTCTATTACAATCTTGTATTTTCGAAACTGCAAGCTTTTCCGAATTTCTATAAATGACGAAAGTTGACGGTTAATGCCATTCCATCAAAAAATATAAATATTTATCATAAATTAAGCAATTAACCTTTGAATTCACTATTCAGTTTAACGATTCTTTAAATGTTTTGCAGTTGTTGAAGGGTAAAGTGCTATTTTATTAAACAAAATTTAATTTATTAATACTTAATATTCGAATAGAAAAATGTATATATATATATATTATTTTTGGTATATGTTAATATTATAAAATAAATAATTGGGGGCTTATGTGTAGGAGCTGTGAATTAAATATTTTTAAATAAATAAAAATTGTATTGTTCTTTAAATGAAAAAGAAGAAAAATATTAATTAAACATAAAAAACAAAATTGTTTATTTTTTCTTTTTCTATTTATTTTGTACATGAGGTTTTTTTTTTAAATACATACAATATGTTAATGCCAGGTATTTAATAATGACGTGAAAAATAATCAAATGAAATAAAATTTATGACGACAAATTTTTAAATATAATTAAAAAAGAAATACTAATAGTTTAATATAAATATTTAATTTGATAAATATTTTTTATCTAATATTAATGATTTATTTTTAAACATTTTATATTTGTTAATAATATTTTAATAATGTACATTATGTATTTTCAGTTTTTAGAATTTATTTGCTATATAATTTTAAAACTTATTTTATTCCAAATGAAAATTGTGTACATAATGTGTAGGCCCCTAATCTAAATTATGTTAATCTAAAGGTATGTGTATGGCATATGTAATAATATTAAATATGACGTTCATTTTTTAAGTTATGTTAGACGTATGTAGTTTATATTTTATATAAAAACAAAAATTAATTTTAGATAGAGTGAAAACTGAATGAAACTTTTCTTTTGTTTCGAAAGTTTTTTGTTGTTATCGAAAATTGTTATTATTAGAAAAAAATATCAATCATCATAATATAAACATCATATTATACGAGTATACTTTGTTTAGTATTGAATTTTTGTTATTATTTACCAAATAGGAGTGCGTCATTAATTTAAAATATAATTTTTTTTTAAAAAACTTGCCTATATTAAAAAAAAATATGTTATTTTGCTTATTAGATTATATTTTATTAGAATATATTATATTAGTAAATCTAATTTAAACACTTTAAGAACAGGACAAAAGAAAGAAATCGAAAATAAGTAAATAATATTCTTTTATATTATCAAATGTGATTTAATTGGTTAAGAAATATATTACGTTTCCAGTTAA